CAAATTGGTTATATAATTTTCATTTTTAAATATTTTAAAATATAATTGAAATTGATTTTACACACTTTAAGCAATATCGTATCGCATATCGAATATCGCATTTTTTAACAAGGTATCGCATATCGCATTTTCCTTCAATATCGCACAGCCCTAGTACTTGGTACATTGTCAGCGCAGCGGCAGACGTTCAAACTAATATCACGTAATTTACGTCTCTGTGATGATTGGTTGATATCAGAAGGAGGCTAGCCTCCCTTGCGAGGGTTCTTTTCTCAACACTCCTCAGCTCTGAAAGTGAACACTTGATGGTGATTGGCTAATTTTTTTTACCAACGGAGGCACAAGGGCTCAGCTCTCCCCCGGCCTCCCCCTCACCTTCACTATCACGTAGCGGTTGTAATTACATCAGCAGATTCGGCACATTCGCGATAGAAAAGCGGCGCTTTCACTTTATGGTATTACAACTGTGAAATTACAAACAAAATTACACATTCTGAGACATGAACTGAAATTAATTGTGAATTTATTAACATTAAATCGTCATCCTCCAATTTTCACCTCAACATTATGGGGAAGCTGTGCCTCCCCTGCCTCCCCCTACGAGCCTCCACTGTTAATTTGTGGTTACCATGGTTTGAGAATAGTAACCATTGTCTTTGGATTTATAGTAAAATCATCGTTAATTTTCGTAAGGGTTGTGTGTTGTAGTCTGCCCTAGCTCCCCCTAAACCTATTATAACATATGTTTATTTGTCTGCTAAATGACTACTGTAACATTACAATAGATAATAATGATGTCCTTTATACAGTATTTTGAGTGATGACTGATGATCAATGGGCTGCTGCTGCTTAACTAAGTAAACAAAGACAAAACTACAATAGCATATTTACAGATGAAACTGACCTGCACTTGAAACCCTGAACAGTAGTTTTGCTTCTCTGCTCCACCTGTGCTCTTCCACAGTCCACTCCACTCCATTCTCTCTCTCTCTTATTGATTACTCTGATCCAAACCATTTGGCGGAGGAGCGGAGAGTGCGCGAGCCGAAGCATTGCCAGTCACGACCAGTGGTGGAAAGAGTACTGAAAAAATATACTCAAGTAAAAGTACCAGTACCTTCCAAAAAATGTAGTGTGAGTAGAGTAAAATCACTTGTCCAAAAAACTACTTGAGTAAGAGTAAAAGAGTAGCCTATTTAAAAGTACTCATGAGTATTGAGTAGTGAGTACTGAGCTGTGGATTCTACCCCCTCATAATAAACGCTGTACACCGCAATTTATACATTTTTAAAATGTTGTACATTCTGTAATTCACATTATCTTATTTGTCATAAAGAATGAGGGGGGGGTTATCGCTGCTCTCCCTGCTCTCATCCATGCTTGGCTGCATGGATGCGCAGGGAACCATACCGCCAATCCAAACTATGCTAATTGTCAATCATCTTTGACGAAAGTGGTCCTGACAGAACTCTCTTTTTAATAAGGTATATATATAATTTTATGTCCTTAATATTAGTATTATGAATGACCAAAAAAATCCTAAATATAAAGTTATAATTCTATAAATAAATGACTATATATATATATATATATATATATATACACCCACACACACCTTGCTACGTGTACTGCGTTAGGCTAACCGAGACTTGTCATTTGCACTTATATGTTGTTGCTCTTTTGTTAGTTTTTACTGCTTTTATTGTCCTCATTTGTAAGTCGCTTTGGATAAAAGCGTCTGCTAAATGTAAATGTAAATTCAGGATTTATCAATATATATATATTCAGATTTGATATTATTTTCTCTCTCGTCAGTGTAACTCTATGGGATTTTTTTGGCTTGTTTAATGTCCACCAGGTGAAAACTGTTAGTCCAATAACTTAACTAAATCTCCTCACATGGACAAACCACAGGTATGGGCAGTATTGATGCCTGCTTTAGCCCTAACAAGACTCTGGATGAGTTGATGGAGGCTGGAGGCTGTGGGAGTCTACAGAGGTCTGGCATGATGTTTTGCCAGGATCAGAGAGCCCAGGCTGGGCAAGACAACAGCAGGATTAGTGCATGCCAGCGCACAATCGCCTTCCCACAGCGAAGACGAAGTGGGCAGCATCTAAAATCGTGCTTTTCCCCACAAAAACCTTCGAGAGAGAAAATCTTTGACGATACAAACAGATTCATGGACTGAGCTTTAAGGGACTCAATGTGTTTGTGTGCTTTTATATGCCAAACCTTCCACCAGATCCTTTATCTGCAAGCACATCGGCTTCCTTTTGTTCAAGAATCGGTTCTTTTAGTATGTGTGTGGGTTTGTCTTACTGTTTGTATGTGTACGTGTTTGCTCGCCTACCTCCATGTAGGAGGTTTTCAGCTTGTCATCTGTCACCTGCCTGTGACAGCCAGCGAAAACAGCAAGGCTCCAACCTGCAGATACAATTACGAGATAGACTCCCATGATTCCCGGTTGAGATAGACGTTTCTGGAGGTCACATGATCAGGAATCGAGAAGAACAATGCAGAAAGGAAAATCCAGCTTTGATTGAATTGACATGCCATCCATTTAACCCATCAGATGAGAACAAATTAATTTTGAGCGATTAATCGACTGCGGCGGCAAATTAACTGACTGTCTCATTCGTTTTGATGCGCTGGACGGCTCATCTCTCTTTTTGTCCTTGCGCTCGTCTTTGACTCGGAGCAGGTGAGCGGCCCGCTGTAACGTACACTGGTTATCCGTGTCCAATCTCTCAGACAGAGGCTTGTGTTTTGCCCTTGGCCACAGCAAGTCCGATCCGCAGCATCTATTATTTACTGCCGGCTCTTTGTCTCTCTCACACTTGATTTGTACTAAAGACTTTCTGCCTGTGATAATGTAGAATGGGCTTGTCAGACATTCATATACTTGGTGACCCTAAAAAAATGCAAACCTGGTTGAGGTTTTGGATTTGTGTAATTAATGAGTAATAAAAGCCTTTCTTTATTGAAAGGTAGTTATTTGTCATATCTAGCTCTGTTTTGTTGAGTAGTTTAATTATGTGCATCTATTCTCTTTTCAGACAAAATCAAAGATCATTACATTTGAGAATATATTATTCAAAACATTCACTATGGGAACTCAGGTACACTCTTAAAAAGTGTCAAGCGATGCCATAGAAGAACCATTTTTGGTTCCACAAAGAACCATTCAGCCAAAGGTTCTTTAAAGAGCCATCTCTTTCTTACCTTTTTATAATCTGAGGAACCTTCTTTCGCCACAAAGAACCTTTTGTGAAACAGAAAGGTTCTTCAGATGTTAAATGTTTTTCAGATGTTAAAGGTTTTTATGGAACCATTTAGACAAAAAGGTTCTTCTATGGCATCGTGAAGCACCTTTATTTTTAAGAGTGTAGTCAGGGAGATCTTTCTGTCTGTCTATATTTCTCTCATTCTGTCTGTTGTTCTGTCTATTATTCTGTCTGTTTGTCTATTGTTCTGTCTGTCTATCTGTTCTGTCTGTCTGTCTGTCTGTTCTTCTGTCTGTCTATCTGTTATTCTGTGTATCTATTTGTATGGTGTTTTATCTAACAGTTGTTCTATTTGTCTGTCATGTGTTCTGTCTATCATTCTGTCTGTGTTGCTCAGTCTATTTATCTGTCTGCTGTTTTGTTCTCAAGTCAATCTATCCTTTGTTCTGTCATCAGTCTATTTGTCGTTTTTTTCTGTCTATCTTTTGTTCTGCCTGTCTGTTTACTGTTCTATCTTTCCATCTTTCTGTCTGTCTGTCTATCTATCCTTTGTTCTGTCATTTTGTCTGTCTATCTATCCATCCTTTGCTCTATCAATCTTTCTGTTGTTCTGTCTACCTGTCTCTTATTCTGTTCTGTCTCTCAGTCAGTTCTTTGTTCTTTCTGTCGCTCTGTCATTCTATCTGTCAATCCTTTGTTCTGTCTCTCATTCTGTCTGTCTGTCAATCTGTCTGTCGCTCTGTCTGTCATTCTGTCTGTTGATCCTTTCTTCTGTTGGTCAATCAGTCTGTCGCTCTGTCAGTCAATCTGTCTGTCGTTCTGTCTGTCAGTCCTTTTTTCTGTCTGTTGCTCTGTCAGTCCTTTGTTCTGTCTGTCGATCAGTCTGTCGTTCTGTCTGTTGATATGTCTGTCGCTCTGTCAGTCCTTTGTTCTGTCTGCCGCTCTGTCTGTCAGTCCTTTGTTCTGTCTGTTGATCTGTCAGTCCTTTGTTTTGTCTGTCGATCTGTCTGTTGCTCTGCCTGTCGCTCTGCCTGTCATTCTGTCTGTCAGTCCTTTGTTCTGTCTGCCGCTCTGTCAGTCCTTTGTTCTGTCTGTCGATCTGTCTGTCTCTCTGTCAGTCCTTTTTTCTGTCTGTCAATCTGTCTGTCAATTCTTTGTTCTGTCTGTCGATCTGTTTGCTATTCTGTGTTTATCTATCCTTTGTTTTGTTCATCAGTCTGTCTGTCGTTCTATCTACCTGCCTGTTTATTTTCCCAGGGTTCTATTTGTCTGTTTATCATTCTGTCCATCTTGATCTGTTTTTCTATCTTGAGATTTGATCTGCTCAGCCAGCCCTCTGCAACTGTTTTACCACAACAACAACAAAAATATGCTTGCCTTTAAAAGCTTCACAAAAGCAACCTCACATGTTGTTGTTATTTCACTGCTGTTTACATCCTGTAATAATGCTGGTAAAAATGCTGTGTTCTTGAAAACTGGAGTAATAACTGAACATTTTTGTGCTTAAGGTACACCACCCAGATGGTAGAGATGCCTCCGTCAGGTTTAGTTCAGTACAAATGTTTTTTGACAGGATATAAAGACATTTGAGTTGCCTGCTTTGAATATTGTAACCTATCAAGCCTTTGAAAGGGTTACTTGGTTCCTATAAACTGAAAAAAGAGTGAAAATGCACTTGCAGTCTTTGATCGTTTGATCATAATTAGTTTTGACATGACCAAAATGTATAATCAATTCACCGTTCTCTCTCTTTTTTTTGTGTGTTTCTCCTTTAGGATGCTGGGGGATCTCCGCTTGACTGCGCTCCAATCTCTCCTGGCTGTGTGTCTGCTCTTCACCCTGGAACATGGTGAGTCATTCTCTCCTGAATCTCAGCATTCATCTGCTCTTATCCGATCAGTCGTGGGAGTGCATTTGTCAGTCACATGCCCTCGTTGACTCAGTAACAACTTTTTCAAATCTCAAAATGTCCAAAACCTGCTGCTGAATTAGTGCAATTTTCACCCACAATAGATGAAACCAGTGCAACCTACACTCCTAAAATGAAGGTTCTTTATTGACATTGATGGTTCCATTAAGAACCTTTAACATCAATGGAACATTTCCATTGCACAAAAGGTTCTTTAGATTATTACAGTGTCTTAAAATTGTTATTTTAAGAACTGTTCACTGAAAGGTTCTTTCGGGAACCCAAAATGGTTCTTCTATGGCAGGGGTAGGCAACATCGGTCCTGGAGTGCCGATGTCCTGCAGAGTTTAGCTCCAACCCTGAAAAAAACCTTACCTGCCTGTAGCCTTAGTAATCCTGAAGACATTAATTACATGCATATACCAGATACAATTATAACTGATTAATTATAGTCTAAAATAAAGAAATGTCTGTATGTGTGTGTGTGTGTTAGTTTGGGTGTGTGTGTGTTCGTTTGGCCATTCACAGCTCTCTGTGGAATGTTTTTGATCAGAAGATTCCAGGATTCTCGTGGGGGCTGGTTCTAATCTTTTTTGACGGCGAAGAACCATTTGGCAATTTACAACCCCTATACAAGTAACATCTCTGACCAGAACTGTAATTTATATGCAAATGTCAAAAGGCTAAAAGGGTCTTTTAAGCCATAAACAGTCCAACACTCCAGCATGATCCTACGCAGACGCTACAGCTTGTTCAGGTGTGTTTGATTAGGGTTAGAGCTAAACTCTGCAGGACATCGGCACTCCAGGACCGACGTTGCCTACCCCTGTTCTATGGCATTGCTGTAAAAACCCTATTCTGGAACCTGTATTTTAAAGCATGTGAAAGAGCTTAAAATTACAATTATGTCTTCATTTATTCACCTTCATGTTGTTCATTTCTTTTGTCAAACAAAAATGTTTCCCTTTGTCCATACAGTGAAAGTATAATATAACTGTTGTTCTGGCTGTCTGTCATTCTGTCTATCTTTTGTTCTGTCTATAGATCTGTCTGTCTTTTTGTCTGTCTTTTTGTCTGCCTATCAATCTATCTGTCTTTTTTTCTGTCTATCTGTTGTTCTACCTGTCTAGCTGTGAAACTCAATGGTGACCTTTTTTTTGTGGACCCCATTGACTTTCAATGGATGCACAAAAAGTTCAAAACACTCTTGTTTTGCATTATTTTGTGTTCCACTGAAAAAAGTAAGTCATACAAGTTTGGAACGAGGTGAGTAAATGATGCCAGCATTTTAATTTTTTGGGGAACCATCCCTTTAAACAGGTTTTCTCTCGTCCTTTCATCTTGTGGTAATTACCGTTACACACCATTCCCTGACCAGACACTGATGAGCCTTTTTGGACATCGCTGATAAATCGCTGGATTCCGCCCTCCGCTGCTTCCATCTGCAGTAAATAGAGAGTGCGCGAGGAACACTTTCATCTGCAGAAAGCCTAATTTCCTCACATTGCCACCTAAAGACTTGTCATCACTCACTCTAATGCCTGCAATGGCTCTCAGCGGCGGTTATACGTGCCCACGTGCCGTGAAAAAGGAAGACGCTGAGGCATAGCTTGTGCCGACTGAATCCTACTCCATCAAAAGCCTTTTGTAGATGAAAACGCTTTGCGCTTCACCATGCAAAACCAGGCCCCAAGTCAGAACTTTTGGCAAGGCTGTGTTGAATGCACTGTTTCACAGACCGGCCTCTTCTGATTTCAGACGACACCGGGTTCTTATCGGGCACGTGCAGGGTTGCAGGCCGGGCCATGGAGTCTCTCAGTCACTGACCCGCTTGCTGCCATCTGCACCAGTTGCTTGGAGTATGGTCTGGCACTTGAGAACCGCACGCGCATTTCTTTTTTAGCTTCAGCTGCGATGAGCGAGACAGGCTACACCTAATCTGCATGAAGATTACTTCGCCCTCTTAGCTTCGCTCTCCATCGAAACCACTCTCATGGGACACCCGTGGTGTAAATAAAGACACTTTGTCGGCATGAGTGTTAATTTTTTTTTTTGCAGAATACCTGCTTTCCTCATCTATCAACCAGGGCAATGTTGCAAGGGTCAACTTTACAAGTGGCTAGCTAGTTTGCAACATTTGTTCTATTTTTCATTGAATTTAATATAAATCTATTTTAGTTTAGTTTAGTTTATGAAAAAATATTGTAGTCTAAGTGGTGCATTTTAATATGAAAGTAATAACTATTGAGAAACTGTACCTGAGATTATTCAGTTGAAAACATATTAAAAAAACATTGTATATTTCATTTTTAATATTAATATAAAATGGCATTTAACATTTTATTTATTTATTTATTTGGTGTATTTTCATGCGAAACTATTGAGGAACTATCTGAGATTAGTCAGGAGAAATACATTAATACAATAAAGTTGAAAATTCAACAATTAGTTTATATTTACTTTTTAACATGCATATCATAAATTTAATTTAATTTAAGCCCTGAAACCGGGCGACGCAAGCATGAAAGTGCGTAGTTTAGATTGGTTTTGTTTTTTTGTGTTTGAAAGTCGTTTGCTCATACATAATGCAATTAAAAATACTAATACAACAAATTGGAAAATAGGAAAATGTTTTTAAAAATGTCTTTATAATTTAATTCAATAAAGATTTGATGATTAGTTTTTGTTTATTTAGTTATTTAGTGTTAAACACTTACAAAGGGCAGTGCAAATGGGAAAGTTTTTTTTTTTTACATTTATTTTTAAATAATTGAATTTGATAAAGTTTTATTTATTTATTTACCCTGACACAGTTTGGCTTGTCTTTGTGCTTGTAAGCCACCGAGCCATTTGTCTTTCATGTTCTTTGTCTTAAAATGTAAAATGCCAGCATAATCAATGTACTTTATGTCCAAAGGGATTGAATTGTCACAAAAATGAATTTATTGATGCACAGTATTCAATCAGTCTGCTATTTCCATAAATAATTAGTTTAAACATTACTAGTGCCAACTAATTTTAATGTTACAACACTCAAATATTTAGCCATGCATAAGTCACGCAGCTGCTGCTCCAGTTTATGTGGCCCCAGTTTATGGGACTTGGGTTGAGTTGCATCCCCGTATCGCGCTAAATAATTATGCCATTTACCTAGCAGAGAGCAGGAAATGTAGTCAAGCCTCTGGACTCAGAGTATCTTTATGTATGTGCGTGTATTTGAGCAAGAGACAGGAAGGAAGACAGGAGATATTGAGCTCCAGACACCCTGGGCTCGGTTAATATTCATGGCGCTGTGAATATGGCGAGAACCTCTGGGGGGTTTCCGGGGGAGAGCATCTCATGCGAGACGCTTTCAGAAAAGGAATGTCATTAGGACGGCCCGTGTGCATTTGCCACCGTATTAGCACACCTGTTTGCTTTTAATCCAATGATTCCACTTCTCAAACACGGTTTTGGAGTGTCCAAAACCGTGTCCATGATGGAGGAGGATGAAAGACACCATTGGAGGCCCCACTTAAGAGTGCAAATCAAACAAACAGTCCTTATTCGGTGGAAATGATGCATATGTAGATTTACCCCGGCTACTGGCTACTGGCTCCTGCCGCACACGTTTCCGTGAGTTTGTCACTAACGCTTTGGATATGTGGACACATGATTGTTTCGAGCTCAGTGGGCGCGTGCATTGCAAGCGCTTGTACACAATTAGACGCCGTGGGATAGTCTCGGCCAGTGGTTAAGTAACTGAAGGAAAGAGCAGGGGGAAAATACTGACTAACATGGACAATTTGCCAAGTGGTGGACTGTAAAAGTGGCCAAGGCACTAAAGAAAAACAGCAGTACTCTGTGGATTCGTTATCACATTAGCGGTTTGTCGCCATTGCCATCTATCTATCTATCTACCTACCGACCTACCTACCTACCTACGGTTTATTGTTATCCTAAGGTTATGATAATAATAATAATAATAATAATAAAAAACGTTAATAATAAATGGTAGATTCATTAATTTATTATGAATTCATTTAATTGTATTTACTGTTCAATAATAATAACTATTAATATTAATAATAATAATTATTATTATTATTAATAATAATATAGAAATTAGTGTGTGTGTGTGTGTGTGTAAACAATTGATTATTTATTTATGTACTCATCTATTATGGTAACAATAACAATAACAAATATTAATAACACATTTTAAATTCATTAATTTAATATTGATTCATTTATTTTATTATTCAATAATAACAGCTATTATTATTATTATTGATGATAATAATAATAATAATAAATTGATATTATTTTATATTATTAACTGATATTATTATTATTATTATTATTATACACGTTAGTGTATGTAAACAATTTTTTTTTATTAATGTTTAACAATAAATATTTGCCCACTGCTCACACTCTTCACTAAAGAGAGATTGTGATAGACAAGTTGATTGTTCTTCTTCAAATAATTCATTAAATAATAATACATTCTTTATTTTATTGTTTAATTACCTAAATTAAATAGTAAAATAAGTAAATATTTTGTTCTTAGTCTCTTTTTTATTATTATTGTACACATAGGATATAGGCAGCAAAAAAAAAAAAGTGGTTTTGGCCTGGCATGACTGTAAATATTTGGCCACCGCTCACTCACCACAATGAAGCGAGATCACAGCACACATAATAATAATAAATACAAATAAACACATTAATATTATTTAATAACTGGAATTGGTATTATTATTATTATTATTATTATTAATAATAATAATAAATAATAATAATATAATATTTATTTATTTATTTATTAAGATAATAATAATAATAAATGTTAATAATACATTTTTAATTATTTTAATTTAATTTAATTAGTCTCTTTTGTGTTATTATTGTACACATAGAATATATGCAGCAAAAAAAAAAAAAAAGTGGTTTTGGTC